ATATATATATATATATATATATATATATATATATATATATATATGGAACCTCTCTGTTTTCGTTAAATTAAATTATATATATATATATATATATATATATATATATACGTATATATATATATATATGATTTATTCGAAAATTATAACATAAGTATGTTATAAAGTATGTTATAAAATCACTACAAAATAGCTATTTTGTTTCAACAATTCTGGTGCAAGTGATAGTGTTGAATGTAGATTCAACACGGTGTTGAATGGATCAGGTTTTTATTACGTTTGCTATTTGTTCTTTACCACACACACACACACACACACACACACACACACACACACATATATATATATATATATATATATATATGTATGTATATGTTGAACGCGGCTGAATTCCGAGCGAGCGTCTTTCAATTAAAAAATTAACACTCCATTACCATTGTTAAATAAGGTGAGGTTGATAATAAGAGAGCCAGAGATTATTAATATAGAGACCCTCTCTCATATCAAGATGTTTCTAGTAATGAGATTTATTAAGAATGTTAGTGTTTTCGACCAGAATATATATATATATATATATATATATATATATATATATATATATATATATATATAAAATTGGGATCAAATATGGATAGGAATCAGACAGAATATTAAGATGAAGAAAAAATAGGAAACATTTATCAATTTAACATGTTTCAGTTTTATTAAAGCTTCATCAGAGAATGAGATATGGAGAAAAAGAAAAAAAATGTGCTATTTTTACTTTTATGTTGATAGATTTTCATTGGTGAATCAGGTTGCAGACTTTCCCCATTAATTGTTTTTTTTATCATTCAGTCGGATTTAATATTTAATACATATTTTGCACACACACGCGTGCGCATGATATGAACAGGCACTGATAGATAGATAGATAGATAGATAGATAGATAGATAGATAGATAGATATGAACAGACTGAGATAGATAGATAGATAGATAGATAATGAACATACTGAGATAGATAGATAGATAGATAGATAGATAGAAAGATAGATAGATAGATAGAAAGATAGATAGATAATGAACAGTCTGATAGATAGATAGATAGATAGATAGATAAATAGATAGATAGATAGATAGATAGATAGATAGGCAGAAACTGGCTAATATATAAAAGAGGCTCAATCTGATAAATGGGAACATGCTTCGAGTGATAGAAACAGGGAGAATAAATTGAGGTTCTACCAATTTTTATTTTATAAAAGTTTTGAACAATTTTATTTTATCTGTACGTGTGCATCGTCATAAAAATATTGACACTTTTATCTGCATATATGTATCTGTGTTCATATATGTATAAATAGAGAAGTTTAAAAACAAAAACTCTATAAAAATACAATATGGCAAATTAGAAAGAAACGTAAGAGAGATATCCACTGAAAAGGGAACAAGAAAATCGATCTATGAAATCAAGACAGTCGATGAAAGAAAACATGGGTATGAAAATAAAAGAAAAAAAATTCAAGAAAAATAATATAATAAAATAGAATGAAAAAGCAGTAGAAGAGAAGCAGGTTTTATTACGTTTCCTATTTGTTCTTTACCTATATATATATATATATATATATATATATATATATATATATATATATATATATATATATATATGGAACCCTAAAGTAGTCTTGTTTTCGTTAAATCAAATAATATATATATATATATATATATATATATATATATATATATATATATATAATTTATTCGAAAATTATAACATAAATATGTTATATTATAAAATCACTACAAAAATGTAAATGTTCTTTACCACACACACACACACACACACATATATATATATATAGCATAGAAAGAAATAGAAAGAAAATCGTAAAAGAAACTGAAGAAAAAAGAACAAAATACAATGAAAAAAGAAGAGAATGAAAAAGGAAACATATACAAAAGATGTATGAAAAGAGAATTGTAGATGAAAGAAAGGAAAAGAAGAAAAATGAGCGAAAGAAAATAAAAGAAATTCAAGAAAAAAGTGAGAAAAATCGTCGAATAAAAAAGAAAACAAAATAATATTAAAAAAAATTACCAGAAAGAAAAAGAAAGAAAAAAATGAATTAAATGAAAAAAAATAAAAATAAATAAAGAATGAGAACCAATAAAGAAACACAATCAATGTAATGTCTAAAAGAAGACAAAGAAAGAATTACAAATTGTAAGAAAATTTTCTAGAAAAAAAAACAAAACAAAAAAACAAACTACATTATATAAAGGCCTCAACTTCGATCACTAACAAAATACAACTTCAGCGTTCCTTCATATCACAGTCATTTTGTCAATTTTTTTATATTCTTCAGAGTAATCGTTTCTATTTTGGTCATTACGCCCAAGTTCCAACCTTGCCATTTTCAATAATTAATAATCTGTAAAAGTGTCGAATGCCGACTTTAGGACAAAAATAGTAAGTTTTTGGTTAAGTATTTATGACTTTACACAAAACCAGCCCGAGTCATCACAGAGCTAATGTCTGGCCATAGTTGGATCAATCACCTTTCTCTACGAAAAAGATGAGTTTTAATGCACTCATTACTGCATATATATATATATATATATATATATATATATATATATATATATATATATATATATATATGTATGTGTGTGTATATATATATATATATATATATATGCATATATATATATATATATATATATATATATATATATATATATATATATATATATATATATATATATATGTGAACAGGTTGTCTATATATGTATATATGATATTCCTGTTTATGTAATTATGCATTTTTCTTTACATACACGCAAACACACAGACACACACACACATATATATTTTACTTGAAACGTTAGTGGACAATTCGTGCTTAAAATAGACGTCCCATTTTATTTATTAAACAGTATATATTACGTATATCGTCCCGCGCACCCAGCTATGGGTTAAATAGTAGGACTTGTATCAGAAAATTCTTACAATCTAAAGTATGTTTCGGTTTTAAATAACCTTAAAAAGGTTGATAAGCCGTAAAAAACAAAAATAAATCAATCATAATTAGCCTGCGCTTACGAGAAACCTGCTAAGTCCGATAGACGTAACACACATACTATATATATATATATATATATATATATATATATATATATATATATATATATAGTGCATTTCTTGCCTTTTTGTATGTAATATACGGAAAAATACATTTTACAATGGAACTTTTGTAAAAAAACGTGTAATACGGAAAAATACACGTGGCCCAAGTTTACAGTGTTACTGGCATGCAAAAAAGATGTTCCAAAAGAAATTTTCTCACAATGGAACTCTTCTGAGTTCAAAGGAGACTAAAAAAAGGTCAAATAGCTTCTAGTTACACTGACATATTAAAAAAGGCATCACTATTTACTGAAGGCCCTCATCTATGTGGAGAAAACTGGATTTTCCAGCAGGACAATGCTGCAATCCACAATGCTCTCCAGATTGAAACCCAATCGAGAATGTTTGGGGATGGATGGTAAAGGGTGTTTATAAACATGGATCACAATTTGAAACTGTGGATTCTTTCATGCTGCACTTTATGCATCCTGGACAAGCATCCCAAACAGCCTCATGCAGAAGTTAATAATGCATATGTCAAAGTGAATTTCAAAGTAATTCGCAAATATGGAGGATGTACTGAGAATTAAATTATTGTTCTAACTTATTTGTTTTGTATTTTGCTATTTTTTATTTACATCGTCTTATCTTTATGACCCCCAAAAAAAATACATTTTCAATGTTTGTTTAAATTAATCAATTAAAAAAGCTTAAAATGTTTCGCTTGTTTGTTGATAAACTACATTTTCTAATTAAATGTAAATGTTTCTGCAAATATTTTCGATTAAAGTAACAGTATTTTATATAATTTTAACCTTTTTGTATCTGGTCTTAAAATTTTGACCAGGAGTGTATATATATATATATATATATATATATATATATATATATATATAAAAATCCGACAATTATTTTTTAAGACATTTTTTATGTTTATACGTTCTTTTTATAGATACAAATATTTAAGTAAGTGCTCTGTTTATAATAAACAGTATTAAAAACATTTAACGGTCTGAATGTCCGAGAAATTTTCATAGAAAATATGTCCTCCGACAGGAATCGACCTTGCTAACCGAACGCTCCTCTGTGGCCCAATAGGTTAAAAGGCACGTCAGGCTATATGACGGTTCCGTATAGGATACAGGTTCGATTCCTGTCGGAGTACGCATATTTTCTTTGAAAACTCTAGGACATTCAGGTCGGTAAATGTTTATTAATACTGTTTATTATAAACTATATTTACTTAAATATTTGTAATAAATAAAATAAGACAATATAATATATATATATATATATATATATATATATATATATATATATATATATATATATAGTATATTTATTGTCTTATTTAATTTATTATATATATATATATATATCATTCCGAACTTGATTTCAAACATATCCATCTGTGTTGCAAAGGCCCATTTTGGCAAATTTGTGTTTTTCAACACTCATAGAACCTAAATTGCCTTGAACGCTTATCGGTCCTCAAAGCCACTCAAGACCTCCTCTAGTAAAATTACATCACTATAGATGCGAGAAAAAAATGGTGGTTCCTTACACCAGTAAGTATATGACTCTTCCTGATTTGTTCTAAGAGCAAGTTCAGACCAAAAATCAAGTTATGCTGTCATATATTGGCTGGAGCTGTCTTGTCTTCATTTTCCAATTTTGATAAATTTCAAAATCCTGGAAAGACCGTTAGACGTAATACACCCTGTTTAAAAAAAAAAACGGTACCTCTATATAACTGTCTAAGATCATAACGATCTCTCTAAGAACATAGAACTCTCTTCTGGCCTGGCTGCCTTGTAATATTTAACATGTTGAAAGCCCAACTCTTCACGTTTACCCATCTCCGAATAACTCTGAACGTTCACGGTGGATGGTTGTTCTCGCAAATTGATTCCTTATTTTGAACGCTTATTGGGCCTTTTTGTGACGTACGGTGGCCGTTAATAATTAAGTATAACTTAAGACTTCAATGTTAAACAAAAACAGTATTTGATTACAAACGCAAATAAATACTTAACAAGAACAAAGAATATCTGTCTATATCTCTGAGATGAGGTCTTATGATTACTTACATTATTTACACTATTATCCTCATCTTCATTGCCATATTAACAACGTTTCGGCCGTTGTACGCCCCGGCCTTCTTCAGGTGATTGGAATTTCTAACCGAACCCTTTATTTCATCCACCGGTGTAGATTGTTCTAGTTACACCTGCTCTTCCGGGTGTCTCAGTTATTTTCCTTCAGCTCAACTCTCCAAGTTTGGTTCAGCACTGCTGTGGCCTGGTATTGAACTCACAACTCTTTGGATCTAGTCACTGGATCTAACCAACGTCTTTATCCACTGAGCCATGTGCCCTTGAGGACACAAAGAAGTCAAAGTCAACCGAAAGATACTTAACCATTTCAGTGAATACCTTGTTAATAGCGCGGCTCGGTTTAACGTCCGGTAAATCCTAAATCAAAAGCCAAATCATCGACGTGCAATAATTCACACTAATTCGACTGGATAGTTCCACTCAATAGTCACTCAATAATCACTCCAGTCAGTAGCCTGACACCACTATTTATACACCTGGCGGAAATCATATTCATAAGTCCAGAGTGTCACGTTCGAACTTCGGTGTCGGTAGTTACTCTTTTTGTTCCGATATGACAGTCCCACCTCAAGCATCAAAGGAAACTCTATCACTAAAGATGCGGAAAAAAATGGTCGTTTCCCTTGTATTAGATAGTATCTGATCCTCTCCTGCTATGGTCTATTTTTGCAAGAACTAGATCAGACCAAAAGTGGAGTATTGCCGGCATATATTGGTTGGAGCTGTCTAGTCTTCACTTTCCAATTTTTATAAATTTCAAAAGCGTTACGCGTCCTTGTGGTTGATGAATTATTTCCCACCCTAGAACCCCCTTTCCCACAGATAAAACATCGTAAGCCTCTGGCCATTTTGATAGTAAATGTTATGACCAGGAATATTCCTTAGTTCTACCAGTTCAGAGCCAAGACCCGTCATACCAAATACACTGGTACGACTCATCATCGATCCCTTCCTTTTCATTAGTAAGAAAGAAGCTCTAATCAAACAGCTATTCCTAAAGATTTCCCAACTGTTGAACAGACTCCTGAGGGGATACTTCCTCGACCACCACAATCTTAACCAGTTCATATCTAGCGCTAACCATTATATCGCTGACATTAACTGCACGTCTTACCTCTTATTCTTGACCCTATACAACATCATTCCTTAACATTCTACATTGAGTGGCTCTCGCAACTTGTTTAGTAAACATTAGCAAAAAAGAAAAAAATAAATAAATAAAATAAAATAAAACAAACGTGATATGGTTTTCCCGATATTTCAGGTCTGTACGCTGGTTCGCCTCCCTAGAAAATCACTTCCCCACTCAAACTGAGCACGTTGAGATTTGAACCCGAGTATCATGATCGGAAAGCGAACCTTCTGAGATTTAACTGAAAGATTAAATAAGCAAATTGCCAAGTATTTTATACCAAACGAATGGGAAAGTCAGATACGGAAACATTAAAAAACAAAACATTTTTGAATTCAATGACAATTGTATTTCTTGTTTCGAGAAAGATTATGTGGTTTCCTTAGTAAAAGAGTGCCAACACCTGCCTTCCTCAGTAAATGCTGACTTCAAACAAGCAACGATATTTCCAACAATCTGGTCGCAACCAAAAAAAATATGGGAGGTCAGTACGGTTTATTTTTTGCTGTTATCATTTTATTCTGCTGTTAATCATGATATCAAGTGAACTCGTCAGGCTTCACAAGATCAATGTGTTTGACTAATTCTATTTTGTTCATATATTTCTCTCTCCCTTACACTCTCTATCTTATGGTGTTAATATCTATCTATCTATCTATCTATCTATCTATCTATCTATCTATCTATCTATCTAAGTTTATTCATAGCTGTGTTGGTTGTTCATATCTATCTATCTATCTATCTATCTATCTATCTATCTATCTATCTATCTATTCCAGTCTTTTTCTATCTATCTGTCTCACTTAACTCTGTTAGTTGTTCATATCTATCTATCTATCTATCTATCTATCTATCTATCTATCTATCTATCTATCTATCTATTCCTGTCTTTTTCTATCTATCTATTCTATATATAGCTGTAGAAATGTAAATATATAAAAAGTAAATTTATATGGAAACGACTGTAGTAATCAATATATTATAGATAATTCTGTTGGAAGCACTCATACAATGTATATATATATATATATATATATATATATATATAAATATATATATTATATAAAATCTATATTACATATATATTAAAATGAAACAATTCTTTTTCCATTATGAGATTAAAGTTGCCCTTTTAATTGTTTTCGT